GATTTTTAATAAATAAAATATGCATCGAGAGATGTATTACATAATTTCTTTTGAAAGAATTGAGCAACGTCTTTTAATTTGTGCGTTCAAATTATAGCACGGCAGGAAAATAATACTTTAAATTAATAAACTATATGAAAAAAAATCATGCTTTAAAATGCGCTGATTTATTGAAGATTGAAATATTCAGATAAGGAAAAATTAAGAGACTTAATGTGCGAGAGGTCACACAGTACAAATGTTCATAGAATAGATAAATATATATTATAAATTACAAAATGCCATGTTTTAATTAATCTACTCAGAAACTTTTTTAAATAAATCAATAGATGACGAGAGGAAAATATAGAATAAAGTGTTACAATATAATTAATGTACAAAGAGGACCATGAAGGCCCCTCGTCCATTATATACGTGTGCTGTTTTGTACGGAATTTATTAAAAATGATTTGTGAAGCCCAGTTCCAGAGTTTAATTCGGAAAATTAATAATTTTATATAATTATAATAGTACCTTTTGTGTAAATAACACACTTTAAAAAATGTATTTTTAGAACGTTTAGGAATATACCATGTGTATGTTTTTTTTCAGGTGGCAGCTGTCAATCACAGATCCTTCCGAGGCTTGTTGTGGCATCTCCTGTACTGTGACAAAAACATCAAGTCAGACTTGGAAAAAATCAGGTGAAAATGACACACTCCGATGCACTTTTAATTTTTTTTATCCCTTATCTTTCTTAAAGTTACATGTACTTGTCAAAAGGTTAAATATTCTTTACCGAAAATATCCTTTGGGACAATTTTAAAGGAATATCTCTATTTAAATCAGTATTGTTCTGTAAAAAGTTGTCTGGGTTATGTTGTTTTATGGTTCATTTCTGTGATTACAGAGAGCAATTTGGTGCATGCGATGATGAGATACATTAAAATCAAATATTTTATGAACATATAGGAATCACCAAAAATTTAGTAGCATGTCGTTAGTAATATTCAGGTCATGCCATGGAGTTAACGTTAAGGTTCATTAATCCTCTGAAAAGAGAGATAACTCTAATTGATATAAGTTACTATTCATACCTTTATAAAATTGTCAAGTTACAAAGGTCATTTCTGTGAAATCTTGCACGTCAAGTTATGCTGAAATTGTTTTCTTTCTACATATAAATACCTTTTTAACCATTATAAGCGTTTTAGGAATATTCTATTTGAGTCTATATAGTGGGATAGTGAACTTTAAAATTTGTCTTATTCATTCATTATACCCCCGCTTGAAAAGCGAGAGGGTATATAGTAATCGTTATGTCCGTCCGTCTGTCTGTTACATTTGGGGTACCCATCTCTTATCCGCAACTCCTCTCATACCACTGTCATTGAAATTTAATGAAATTCTCACAGAATCTGTATGACATACGTATTTCCATTGTGCACCTCATATTTTACTTTTTTGATCCGACACATATTTTGGGTTTGCCGGCCACAGCAAAACATGGACTTTGCCATTATAACCATATAGTTAGCGGGGGTATCATTTAGTGAGCTCATTGCTCACAATACCTTTAGTTTTATGCAGTGTACTTTTCTGACGCATATAGAAAATCGATTGCTCTCGATCAGAGATAAAAATGACAAAATTTTTCGTGCAATTCGAAATGTTTTGTCCTACTTCAAACAGAATAAAGCGACTTTGATTTTCACGTAATAAAATAAATTTTTTAAAAACAAAAAAAAGGGAAAATATGATGAAAATATGGGGGAGAAATATAGGGGTGATATATTAAGCACTTGAGTGAAATTTTACTTAAAACTTCCTGTTACATATTTCAGGGCCATTTACCGATGGGCAACATTAACCGGAGGTGTCAAGCAGTGCTTTGAAAATAATCCAGGTGCAAATACAACGGAAGAATACATTAACAAATTCCAGGCAGGGAAAACTACACATTCCCAAATCGTACAGTTGTTATGCACGTAAGCCAGATCAGGTTTTTCATTCATAATTACTTTGTAAACTCTTTATTATATTGTCCGAAAGCCTTATCGTTTTGCGAAAGCACGTTTGTCTGTCTGTCAGTCACAAAAAAAAAAATAGTGAATAACTTATATTACTCAAAATGGGGTTAAAATATTTAATATGTGCAGTACCAGAGACATTTCCGAATGATTAATATTGATGACATTCAAGTTTTACCTTGAATTTTGACTGAGTTTTTAAAAGAAATTCCCCAAACTATTGGAGACGACAATTCCTTTAGTTTGCTAATAATCTGGATTTGATAATCATTTTTAAACTTGGTTTCTTATGGATACGTTCAAGGTAAATAACAAAATGAGCATAAAGGAGAAAATTTGAGTGTTCTTGATAACTTGACATTATGTTGTGCGTTTAGTATATTCTGAAATTAACTTTTTACGTTTCTTTACTTATACTGTTACTGTTTTATATTAAAAGATAAAGTCAATGTAAAATCAATGACATCCTACTTGTAGCTTTGCGGGATTCCATTGTAAGATAGTTACGGGGTATGCCAAGGGAAGGTCCTTTCGCCCTGGTGATTCGTGCTGTGAGGAGAGATTTAGGCATTGCTGGAACGCTGTACATTTTGAAGGAAACTGGTTTTTCCTGGATGCTAAATGGGGAGCTCTAAATGGAAATAATGTAGGTGTTAAGTCTGATAAGGATATGCATTTCCTGCACAACTTAATTATATATTTGGCATATGAAATCTGACTATGTAGACCCTTTTATACAAATTTCATCACTTTGAATAAATGTTACAAAATAATGCAACAACTGGACAATACACTTAAAAACTGTTTATGGTTGCTTTCCAAGAAATCAAAACTATTGCTGTATTACCTGATAAATAGTATGATATTTTAGAACAGTTATAAACTGATTGTTACGGTATGTACTTATTAAGGTTGTCATAACATGTTTTTTTAATCATTTTATAACAGAATACGTCAGACTGCAGTGAGTTTTACTTTCTGACAGACCCAGAACAGCTGCAGTTTAGTCACTGGTCAGATGAACCAAGATGGCAACTGGTTGATAGGCCAATCGCCATCAATGAATTCGAAAACTACCCATTTGTCAAACCACACTTTTTTAAAGTGGGACTTAATTTTATTTCAAACGTGAAGTGTTTGATAGAAACGAAGCGAGGTCAAGTGAAATGGGATATAGGTGTGACACATCCCGCCAAATTCAGCTATCGTTTGGTCTGCTCTGACACAGGAAGTGACAAGATTGATGGTGTGTTGTTAAAAAATTTTATATTTCACGAAATACAAAACGGCAGAGCAACTTTTGTGTTGCGCACACCTGCTCCCGGAGAATACTATTTAAAAATATTTGCCAAGAGCTTACAAGAAAGAAATGGTCATTCTGGAGATACCCGGATGTTGGAGGTGCTAGAATACAAGGTCCAGATTAGCAGCCCTTGTATTGAGGATGACCCTTTACCTAACTGCTGGGATACGACATGGGGTCCCGGCCAAAGAACAGACAAGTTCTGTCTATACCCATTACAGAAACGAGGCTTGATAACCACCGATGAGAAAACAGTCGACATTGAAATCAACAAAACCAGACCAATCAACATTTTATGTCGTCTGTGTCGAAACGGATGGAAGGAATCAAAATTACGGAAATGCATTGAGATAGAAGATAATGACACAAAAGCCTATTTGACGGTGTCTTTACCTTACGCGGGAGAGTATGGATTGGAAATTTATGGATGTTTTCCAAACAGGAAGAAATCTGGATACCGCCATGTTTGTCAGTATCTCATCAACTGTTCTTGGAGAGACGAGAACTTCACACAAGAGGATTTTGAGCAATATCTTGAAACGGCTGATGCTGAAGATTTGGTTTGTTCAGTTTTATTTTGTCATTTTATATTTAGAATAAAAAAAATGAAAAGCAGAAAATGATGAAAGTTCAGTCATAAAAATTTGTTTTACGTAAAGTTGTGGTAAAAAAGTATGAAAGAATGATTTTCTCTTACTTTAAATTTGTAAACAACCCAAGCAGCACATATGCAGAGTCAATTGGTAATCTTTTTATTTTACGTAGCTAGAATGGCTTTAAATCTTAGAACTCTTTTTCATTCTTCATTTCGCTAACTGGGTACCTTATAAATAAAGTTTTTGAACTGTTTACCCATTTTTGTAAGGTAAACTTCATAAATGTATTAAATGTTCAGTATACATTAAAACTAAGTTGAAAAGCGTAAGCTAGCCATGTTTGAAGTGCATGGTGCATGTTTTTAATAACCTTTGGTCCCCATACAGGTTTTAGAACACCAGCAACCAGATGTAAACACAGCAGACTTTTCTGAAAACTTCCAATTGCCTGAGATAAAGATTGATGAAACTAATTTGCCGGAACCCTCACCGCGACCAAATGGATTCGAACCAAAAACTGCTCACTTTGGCTGGACCATAGAATTAGAGGATCACGTTAAGTCGGTAAGATTTTTCTACATTAGGATACCCTCCTCTCCTTGTGCCCCCCTTGTTGCTGCACTGCTTGACAGAGGGCGCTGCGTGGTAGAACATGCCCTGCAATCTGCTAATTAAGATACTGAGCTTTAGGTTGTTTTTAGCTTTTCCATTCAAGTTTCAAGCTTTAGACTTTGTTTCCAATGGAAAGATCGCAATTGGAAAACTGTAACCTGATTGGCTAGATTTTAGTATTCCCGAAAATGTCGTTAATGGCGAACAACGAACATTTTGATAGAGAGCGTGATGAAACTAATCGCGAATCGCGTGGCCTGCAAAAATGATGCCGGACTCTTTTATGAAAACATAAAATTATCTGTACATAAATTGTTGTTTTGAAACGTCTTTACTTCGGAAAATTGAATATTCAAACTCGATTAAATATGCTTCAACTGCAAAGTGATCATACATTCTACCGGTATCTTATTCAATCTGAATTTGAAAAACGTGCAGCGCACAGACTGAAGTTCCGCTTCGAATTACAATGCACAATTTTAGCATCAAAATAAATCATCGAATGCATTTTATCAATTGGCGGCCATTACAAGAAGAGGAAGTCACCATAAAAGGTAATATCCTTTGTGTGTTTGATTGGTTTGCTTAAGCAGAAGTGGCCAGTTGTGTTACATGTAGCTAAGAATATTTTTTTAAAATGTTGGTCGGGACAGATTGTCAACATATATAGAAAAAATATTTTTTTTAAATTAGAATAATGTTCGTAATTTTTACAAAATGATATGAAACTAAAATCATATTCATGTCCAAATCTTGTATCATAAAAGTAATGCAAACTAACGGTTTTAAAAAGAAATCGTCTGCACATCGTTGGTTTTGAGTAGAGCGCAGTCATACACTTCACACACATGCTTTGCATTTTTCCAATTTTACCAGTACACCCAAAACTTAACATTTCTACATTTTTACATATTTTAAAAAAATTTGTTTATTTCATATCATTCAATGATCTGTTTCTGCTTTTTCTTACAGGAAATGTTTGACGATGCTACTTATGTTTAGTGGAAACTGTGGAGTTTCTGATGGCTTGAAACAATCAAGTTGTAAGACAAACCTGATGCAAGAAAAAAATGACATTCGAATGAAGGATTCTCAAAGGACATTCATGATTGTTTTTAACGTACATTTCTTAATTAAATGCATACAAGAAGATTGCCAAACAAGATTACGTAACGATTAATCATTTAAATCTGTGATTTAAACATGCACATTTTTTATCAAATAAAGTAGCGGCTGACGCTCTGGTACCCATGTTTTATAATAACACATGTTATGCCCAAGCGTCGTGATTCTTTTTTTAATTTAAAGTAAAATTCTTAAAGGTTGAGAAGTAAGCCAAGCTAAATATTTATCCACAGAAACAAAAACACGTGGATATATTAGGGCCTGTGTTTGGAGAAGGCCCAGGGTGTAACAAGAAATACTGTATCGTCAATAGCTTGTTTGTTTGAGGGTGTGTGTTATCCTATAAGGTGTTCGTCATCTTGTTTCTTCCTAAAGTGCAATGTTTATGAAAAGCAAAATGTAAAACAGACCTTTTCGGTGCAGTATAAAGCACTTACTATCGAGTAAAGAAATTTTAATGTGAAGATAATCAAATTGTAACCATATGCCCAAAAGTGGATTTAAATAATTCATGCACAATATGTACTTTAGTGTACAAACTGAAACGGACCACAAAAACATCCGAGATCATTTGCATGCTACAGAGAGTACATGACTTTCGCATCCGCCCTAAAACCTTTGTAATGACCGGGTAGACTGAATAATTGGTCATGATATTTCTGTAAAAATACTGTTATGCAATTATAATAAAGAATATAGTGGAATAAATGAACATATCTTGCGATGCTATGAAAATGTACTGTATATAAAAAATTAAATTTAAATGTTTGCAAGGTTGGAATTTTGTACTTACATCGAGTAATCATTTTTCAACGATTTTTCACAGTATTTCTGTAGTATCAATTAATTTATTCTTCACATCCATACATGTGCATGTAATTAAATTTTTTATAGTCTTAGTTAGTTCGGCATAAATGGCAGAAAGTGTGGGCGATTCAGAAGTTAATTATATATCAATTCACTATAATTAGAGTAAGAAAGGTATCTTGCAGGACTGGAGAGAAAAAAAAGTGTAATTACATGTTATGAGTATTTTAAAATAAAATGTTTCTTCTAATTCATGTTACAAGTATCATGAACATGTAATTATTAATTATGCATACTAGTTTGTAATGAAATGCGATTTGATTTGAAATTTGAACAGGAGAAAATTTAATTATTAATTGTCTTAAATTGAATTTTGATTTTCGATTTGCTTTGATACTTTAATGTAAAATGATTATGATTATAGGCTCTCTTTGTCAAAGTCATCAGTCGTCGTATTGAAACCCTTCTTCATGTGTTGTACAGCTTTTTGATATGAAATAAATGCACAATAACATTTCAAAATCATTATTTGTTATGAATTTCCTCTTTCAAGCTTAAAATGTATTCACTGATTGTAAACTTCGGTAATTTGTGAAATAAGAAGAGAGAAAAAAGGAAACTTAGCATGGGGAAAAGACAAAGATGTGAAAAGGACATCTTTAAAATAATATTGCCTTTGAAAAGTTGGTTGAAGTTTTAATAAGACCATTTTTTAAAAACAAAATGGAACTTGTAAACAGTAGAAAACAAATCTGGAATGGGCGAAGATGATATTATACAAATTGCTTTGAGAATATACACTGTAGTTCTTTGGTAAAGCATTCAAATTAATAAAATGGCACTAAAGTAAATTATACGTGAGTTAAATTCATTGAATTAAAATAATTAAAATTAAGAGTTGGACAAAAAAGCTCTTTTTACGTCATGTGTTTTGTTGTTTTGAGACAGTACAACTTGCCAATGGTTATTGGCGATAGAGAAGGGATGCTTCAGCGTGCTAGCAGCGACGATATTTAGCGCTCGGGTTCCCCGATTCCCGCTATCTTGGGCTATTGTGATAAAAAATATTTTAAAAAGTTAAAATATAATTACATGAACGTGTTTCAGTTTTATTGCCTTCTGGAGGTCACAAGCTTTAGTACAAATTACCTTCAGTAATCGAGGATCGACATTTTAAAACTCTGATTCTTTCTTTAAAAAAAGATCTTCGATCAAAGCATCTATTTAACTTTATAACACGAACATACGCATTAAATTGCATTATCTTAATTAGCAAAGGGCATGTTCTCCAGAGAGTTTGTGTACTGTAGAAAAAACGATAGAACTAGAGGGCAGCAACACAAATATTTTGTAAGAAAAACTCATGATTTTTTTTAAAGGATTTCAGTTCATATAATTCAATATCACGCAATTAACAGCTTTAAGATTAACAAAAATAAATTTCGTAATAAATTCATTGAAATATCAATTGATCTTTTTTATTTCACTCAGTGTTGAAATTCTACTTTTTTACAGGTTTGTGAAAAGACTTACAGAAGATTTGATCAGCTGTTATGGGATCTTGTGTTTTCAAGGAAAATAAAAAGTGATTTGATTAAAGCAAGGTAATGCATTGAAAGCACACATTCTTCGCTTACCTGAGCGATCAGCCCAAGTGAACTTTTCTGATTACCTTTCTTGTCCGGCGTCTGTCTAAGCTGTTTGTCCGTCTCCCTGTCTGAACACTTAAGCGCCTTTTGACTTCTAGAAAACCACTGGACCAACTTTAATAAAAGTTTCTTAGAGCAATGTTGGGGATTCGTAACCCAATGAAAGGATACTAGTAACCATTTTCAACAGATTAAGACTGAAAAAGAATACAAATGATGCATTAGGTTTATTTGAAAAATCTTCTTTATTTTTCGCTAGAACAGTATTGGGCCACGATTGCCTCCACCCCACGCCACCCCTGGGGTGGGTGGGTTAGATTCCTATGATCACATCATAACGTCATTTTATATGGGATTTGTTCAAATAAGGAATACTGGGACTAAAATCAGGAACTGTAGATTTTGCATTATTCAGTCACAGAGATATATCTTCTCCAATACTAAATGACCTTATTAATTTATTTATTCATATCAATATTGAGAATCCACAACTAGTTTGGAGCTGATTTTGTATAATTCATATTCCTTCGATGTTAATTAAGATCAGACTAAAAAAATAGATTCATTTTTTGTATCTGTTTAAAAGCTGAAGATGATAACCAAGGTGAGCGTTGCATTCCCATGGGTTTCTTGGTTTTGTTTTGTCTCGCATTCTGACAAAAATAAAGTAAGTAGTTATGAAAATATGTTAAAATATTTGGATGAGCGCCTTATTATTTTTTCCTAGAATATTGTTCCAATGGTTGGCGACAATGAAACCCCAGAATCTGACCTTTGACTCGGTGGATATTGGGACTCCGGAGGAAACACTGCGTGGACTACAAACACAGCGCACAACATATGCAATGGCCTATCACACGCTCTGCAAGTATGTCGCCAATTAATTCAGTGTTAAGATTGGTATTAATATGTTCGAGATAGTGCTGATTCTTTTCAAATTCTCAATTTCTGCGAAACTTGAAAATAAAATAACACACGCTCTGTAAGTATGTCATCAATTTATTTTGAATTGCAATTGGTATTTATGCATATGTTCAAGAATAGTAATGTCTTTCAACCTTGTGAGTTCTGCGAAACTTGGAAGTAATGACAGTTTAAATGTGAGCCTAATATGTACGCATTTTTTTCGTAGATACTGTGGATTGGTGTCCAGGATAATTTTTGGAGTAGCGAAAGGTATGGACTATAAGCCGGGACACACCTTTATCGCGGGATCCAACCACCATACCTGGAATGCAGTTCTGCTGAACGGAGTGTGGGAACTGGTGGATACGAGATTTGCCAGAAGACCCATCCTGAGTAGTGTTGGAGGGGGATCTAACGTACAATACGAGTTAGACAATCATTTCTTCATGACAAACCCTCAAAAGTTCATATACACTCATTTCCCAGACGAATCAAAATGGCAGATGTTAGATCCATTGGTTACGATGGAGACGTTTTGCAACATGCCTGTGATGACACCACACTTCTTTGCATTAGGGATGGATCTTTTAAGCCATAAACAGGCATATGTAAAGAGCTCAGGAATTTCTACCATTGAGCTTCAATACCCAAAGAGAAAGAGACTGCACCTCACGTTTAGTGTTCACACTGAAAATGGCAGTGAAGATTTTGAAGGGATCAAATTAAACAGATATGCCATGCTAGAAGCAAATGACGGCAAAGTGACGTTCACTTTACGTCTACCCATGAAAGGAAAGTATGCATTCTTTGTCTATGCCAAGGAGGATAATCCAAACAAAACTGACAGTATGTTTGCTCAAGTCTGTGAATACCAAATTGAACAGGACGATGTATTATCACCAGTACCAAGTCCCTATCCCCCTTGTGCTTACCAAAGCTGGGGTCCTGGCATTGCCTTTTATCAATTCAATATGTCCACTGAAACCAGATGTGCAATCATTAAAACTACAAATGGTGTAGCAAAGTTCGAAATTCTTTCACCAAAGCCAATGCAGTTCCGAACACGTCTTGTACAGCATCAAGAGGCCTCGGAATTTGAGGGCTACGTCACATATAAAATCCAAGGCTTGACAACGATGTTTTCTATTACTGCTCCTAGTAAGGGTGAATTTGGACTAGAAATATATGCCAAAGACCCCGACACGGAGAGCAAGAAAATGAGACACGTTGCTCAATATTTGATCGTTTGTGATGAGGAAATAGAAACCGTTCAACTTCCGAAGCTTCCATCGGGATTCCTCGGTCTGCAGCCGATGTTGGTTAAATATGGCGTCAGCACGATTACTCATTCGGATCCTGTTATTCACACAGATACGAACTTTCTAAAAATACGCTTCGGAACTTCTCAGAACATGAGATTCACAACAAGTCTCTTTGAAACAGAGACCAAAGCTGAATACTCCGAGTATGTCTTCATTCAGTCTGAAACAAATGTTATTACACTTTTGGTATGTCTTCCAAAAACGGGCTTCTTTACTTTATGTGTTCATGGAAACCTTTTAAGTGATAATAGCCAACAGATTCCAGGACTCTTCAATTATTTGATTCACTGTAAAGACGTGAAAGTCACAGCCTCTCCCTACCCCAAACAGTACGGATATTGGAAGGAGGGTTGCTCCATGATAGAACCACTTGTTATCAAACCAGCTGATCAAGCAAGGGTGGTTCCTTTTAAAGTTCGAATCCCTAGAGCGACAACAGTGGCGGTGGTCGTTAATAACGACTGGACACCTCTGCATCATAACGAGAACAGCGATTGGGAGGGGGATATTCACATCGAGCCTTCTGTGCAGGGGGGAACAAAAGCCGTTCTCGTGGCTAGTTTTGGAGACGATCAGTCCAAGTATGCCACGCTTTTGGAGTACAATATAGACCTTGTAGCTCAACTTTTATGTTAAAAAGAAGAAGACTAATTAACTTGTTGGGGACATAAACATATGTACATTTTTGCATTTTCACACTTGGTGTTTACTCCATTAGTGACACTTCAGGGATCAGCTCTGTGGCTACTGAGTTACTCGCTTTCACAGTGGATCTGATTGGAACAAATTAAAAGTCCGTAATTAAAATTTAAAGATGAAGTTTATTCGTAGAAAGCAGGACGGGATTGTTATAGATAGTTTTGAATTTCTTAAATTGCAAAACTTTAATGTAATGTATTTATTTGATATCATCCTGTTTACTTTTTTTTTATACATGTAAAGTAATAATCGGAATTGTTTTTGCGATTATCCTATTGAACGACAGTTACAGGAAAACTGTCGTAAAGAGATGGGTTTATGTTTGTTCATTATATTTTTTCACAAAACGACTTTGTTAGCTCTAGATACAGAGAAAAAAATAAAGTGCTATAACTGGATTTTTTTTAAAGTATTAGCTTCGTTTAATGCAAGATTTGTTGTGAGTGAGCTCACTTGACCTGATGCTTTTGAGAAATTATGGCAGTAAAACAACTCCTTAGGATCTCCGTAATGGTGCAAGTGATTCACTCCCGCACATATTTCAGCTTACTAAATATACCATCACTAAATGGATATTTAAAAGACATAAATCAGTCCAAAAATACACAGAACAATCCATATTTCGGTTATTTTTCGGGTATGTCAACATCGCACCTTGAACTTATCCGGCAAGTATAGGGAATGGATCTCTATAGGTATTACCTTATTTGAGGCCTAAATATTCCTGATTACAAAAAATGTCATATGGAATAGTTTTATTTATCAATGTTTATTGATGTCATACAGCACAATCATTTAGTTACCTTGATATATGATTTAATTCTTATTAATTAAAATCAAGTCCAAGTCTCAGAGTATCACGCGAGAACTGTCCTAGTTTCTGAGGAGAGCGACTGGTAAACAAGCAGATATATTTTATCAGATTTTTGCGCATTATT